TTTGGACATCTTGATACACAGAAAGGAGATATCTAATCCTATACTATATTCTTAATAATTAATTCAGGGTAAATTAAAGGTGGCGAAACCTGTGTCTTTCAATGCAGGATCACTGCCATCAGTGTAGTATTGATTATTTTGTGCAAATTCCACAGGGCACATTAAAGCAGCATGGCTTTTTCCTGAGACTGACTGAGGTGCAATCTGTTTGCCTGGCAGTTCTTTGCAGAAAGGTTTTAATCAGATTTTGTTTGGGAAGCAGTGATCATTAATTCTGATGTGACTGAGGAAGTAGCTACAGTGAGACCTCAATGCAAGGCTGTAATGATCAGTGAATTTGGGGAATTTTGGGGAGGTAATAGCTGACACAACTTCCAAAATGGTGCTGAACTCTCCCTCTGCATGTTCCTTTGCTATAGGAGACAGAAGAAAGTTTTTACCCTGTTCATATTGGATTGCTTTTGAAATACTCAGTATTCTTTCCCTCTCTATTCCCCTCTCCCCCTCAATGTGTGTTTTCAACTTTATAGGGAAAAAACTCCAAACAATTGCTGCTAGAGAAGGAAGGGCTGAGGAAAATGAATAAATTGCTGCATCTTTGCCCGGAAGCATGTTGTAATTCTGGGAAGATTTTCAGGTGTGTCACAGTTTTAGTCTGGGATCAACTGTGTATGAAATGGAAACCAGAAGGCAGTTTTTCCAAAACAATCCAGACATAAATGTACACTTATATCCCAGGCTGAATCTTTACGGATTTTATTCTGGGAAGCCAAATATCAGTTTATTCTGTCCTGGTTAAGAACAAGCAAACTGCCACCTTGAATGATCAGAGAAGGCATTAGCTTTACCTAAACATCTATTAAAACAAAACCAACCAACCAAAAAGACACCCCTATTGCACCCATGGATTAAAATGGTTGGTGAGGATGAAAAAAAACAGCTGGATACTTAGTATTTTTATGGCATTGGGATAAGATCTCAAGTGAGAAGAGATGCAGATGGCAGTGGTGTGACTTACTGCCAGTAGCTGAGATGCTGCTGGAAGTGCACTGGTCGGCAGCAGAGCCTGTAAGAGGGAAAGAGCAGACTCTGGGATGCCTCAGCTCACTTGGCAGGTGTGTAGTGTGATGGGGTATGTGGGGTGATTTTATCACACAATGCCAGGGGAAAGCCAAATGAGCGGTTAATGATCACAAAACCTTCTGAAGATACAGAATGTAATTTATCGCCCAGAGTAGCGCTTTGGGGTGGGAAATTATCTTCAGGTTCTATACATTCATTGACCCCTCTGAGAACGATATTACAAACCAGAAGGATAATGGAAGGAAGGTTGTTTACAGAGGCGCTGGCTGCCGCAGAGGCGTTCAGCAGCACCAGAAGGATCCCTCTCTGCCTGTGCATTCTGCTCTGGAGTAAAAGCAGACTTTGTGAAGGCATTTGTCCTTAAAGGTCTGTCTGCCTAAGTGCTCTTCTGGAATGGCTCTTGCGGAATAATGCAGTTTTCAAAGGCAGTGCCAGCCGGTTCCTCTGTGTAGACAAAGCCCTGGGCACACCGAGTTAGGCTTTAGGTGCTTTGATAAACTGCTTGATGCCTTGGATGGGGACCCGGTGAGCTCCTGTGGTCTGCTGATGGTTTGGCTGTTGGTTTAGGTGAGGGGCTGTAGGTTTTGTTGGTAGGTTTCCTGACTTGGCTAGCACTTAGGAAACTTGTGTGCGGCTGTCCTCCTGTGGGTGGAGGGTGGGGAAGTTAGGAGAAGCACCTTGAAACACGCTGAGATGATGTTCCCGTCCCTTCTGCCATTTGAACCCCCCACCCTGGCCCAGCCAGGCAGGGACCCCGAGGGGCAGCCAGGAGCTCTTCCCGCTCACAGCAGTATTCCAAGGCCTCCTTCACACGCTGTCCTGCACCCAGTGTGCTACCAGAGGCCAGCTAAAACGGGTGACTGCTTTCCAGGTATTGTCTGCAAGAAGACTGCAGACTCGTACAAGTATTCATATCCTGAAAAGCACCTTTTCCACCCTTTTAAAACGCCAGATTAAGTTCATGGGTATGACTCAGCCTCGTTTTCTCATCCGGTGACTCCAGGCAAGCCATTTATGTTCCAGCTTTTGCAAACAGATGCCCTCTGGCAGGCTTTGGCCACCCAGTGCCATGAGTCCTGCTCAGGAAGACGTGCATGTGGCACCCTGGCATGACAGGGCTGCCCTGTGTCCAACCGACCCCCCCCCCACCCACGCCGCTCCACGCTGCTGGTTTGTTGGTTTGTTTGTTTTTAATTCAGCCGGGCTGTCACAGCTGCAGAACCAGGGTCGGGCCATATTATTCCTTTGCCACGCCAAACACGTCAGCTATTCCTGCCAGGAGCCCGCGCGCCTCCCTGGCGGTTTTGGCGGGAGGGCAGGAATGTGTGTGGGTCCTGCCCCCCC